GAGGACAACACCGACTGTAATAGCATTAAAAGATCCTCTGAACCAATGTGCCCTTGATAGCAAGTACTCAGAAGCATGAGGCACAACGTAAGCTCTTGCTGATGTCTTCCAGCGTTGGGCAGCAAGGAAGCTGACAACCTAATAAGGACAGCATCGCAGCCTTGCTGTGCAACTGGGAAAAGTTAGCAATGAAACAGAGCAACAGGGACTATCAAGACGATGATCCTTCTCTCCATCTCAGCAGACTCTCCGGCACAGCTCTCTCCAGTGGCTCAAAGCAGAGACAGTTCTTTTCCTGGGCTCTGTCCTTGTGCAGCCCCCACGGGGCATGAGAAGGTGCCCAGATTCTGGCAGCCATTGCTATATGCCTATGGCTCAGATCTCTGACAAGGGATTCTGGAATGAGATTTCCCTCCCAGCATAATGAGGTATTTAGTCATTAACAAAGGAGTCTTCTGGGGCAGAATTCCAGCTGAGCCTGAGGTCTTGCCTCCACAAAGAGACGTTTTTTTCCAGCACACAGGTTTAGTCTGAGGAGGAAGGGAAAGGGTTGCTTTAAAATACCAATCCAGGGATTTTCGTTTGCAGCAGTTGAAGGTTTCTGTTTACTCTTAGATCAGGTTAAGAAATCTGTCGCTTCTCTTCACTGCTGATTCACAGCTGCCGGTTGAGCTTCTGTGCTTGCCGCTCCTTTGCCTCAAAGGCAAACTTGGTGTCCTGCAGCTGGGCGATGGACTCCTTGGCCTCCTTGAGGTCCTGACAGATCTGCTCATACTTCTCTGTCAGCTCTCTGTTCTCTCGGCGCAGTTCCTGTACCACCTGGTTCACCTCCTCTGTTTGCTTGGTGCAGTGGATCTTCAGCTGCTCTACCTCAGAGAGCATGATCTCCATGTTCTTGACCAGTGATTCCAGTTTCTCTTTTGACATGGCGTCAGGATCAGTTCTATTCAGTCTGCCTAACCCAAACCCAAAAGGGACAAAGAAAGCCACCCTGTGTAACATGCACTAGGAAGCCTGGCACTCACAGTCTTGTGGTCTCTTTATACTACCTCCTGCTCATCCTCCTCCCTTCCCTTTCCTTCCCCAAAGTGTCTCTAATCTTCTTTGCTTGGTTAATCTACTTATTTTTTATTGCGCTGTAGAAATCTACTGAAGGGCTGACAACCCTGCAGTAACATATGGGCTGTGCAGCAAAAGCCAGAGCAATAATGAGACTCTATGCAGCCCGCCCATAGAAAACCAGCTTTCATCCTAAGAATTCTCTTGGGAACCCCTTGCCCATTCAAGTACAAAGAAACCTCTTCAAGCCAGACACCTATTCCAGTCTTGCGCCAGTCCCAAGAGCACAGCCTGACTTTCATCTTACATATATTGAGGTAAGCAAGCTTACAGCAATATAAGCCAAACACAGGCAAAGAGAATCAGCCTCAGTTTCTCTTCCTCTCTCCTAATCATATGTTTGGGCAAGGTGGAAGGAACAAAACATAAATTGCCTTTTTTTTTTTTCAGGAGAAGCTCTATCCAACCACTAACTCCACAGCAGCCTGTACCCCATCTTCTATTGTAGGGGTTCACAATGACTATCACAATCAGTGGCAACCACAGTTACTGAGCCATGTACCATTTGAAGGTGGCTTGTGTTTTGACACGCCGGCTAGAGATTTTAAACCCCAGTCCTATTCCCCTCCTGAAGTCACTCTAGCTCTATCAGTAACATTGGCCCCAGAAGTTAAATAAAAACTTCTTCCTGGACACACATGCCACCCACAACAGTCTCAAACTGCTGCTGAACGCCACCCATGAACCTGTGAGAATCAGGACTGAGACATGCCAGTCTGACAATGCACTGATTACTCAGGTCACACCAGGCAGCAGGATGATCCCAGCAGCCACAAGGGATTGAGAGAGTCTGGCCGACTTTCTGAAGTTAGACCCAGATTTTTCTTATGTATCCAGTTAATTAATGCACTTGTCTAGACAATGAAAAACATTAATTAGCCAGGGATCTGATGTAACAATATCACCCTTGAGAAATTAATTTGGCTGAAAAGGTGGTGCTATTGCATATGGCTCTCCAGGAAAGAACCTGTGCAATTTAGCACTGATTGTCTGGTCAGAAGGCTTAGACCACGACAGAGACGAGAATACAGGCTTGCCCTTCATAACTTGCAAAGTAAGATAGAAGAGAGTGTCTCTCTCTCCCTCCTCCCCACATCAGGAACTTTTCCTCCAGGTTGAGTCTGCACCTTTTCAAAAGCCCGTACCCTGTTCTATACACCCACAGAAACGCAGTCTCATTTGTCATGTATCACATACAGACATGGTTCTGTCCTTACTGTATTCACATTGCAGAAATATGTTGCAGTACACAG